TTCCTTTTTCTTTTCTTTCATTTTCTTCTCTATTTTCATCCTAGTTAATTTCTCGCCGCCAGTAGTAAGTAAGTGTCTCGAGATGAGAGTGCTAGCGTGTTAGGTACAAAGAGGAAAATATATATGTGTATATATATATATATATATATATATTAATCGTAGCGTAGGATGAAAATATCGAGTCTTTTTTTCTTCTTTGGAAAAATAGCTCTTCGAAACGGTGTGTCGATCGCCCTGTCTCCTAGCTTCGAACAACGCGTCGAAGGGGGCGCGAGCCAAGAGGACTTTTTTCTTCTTTCTTTCTTTCTTTCTTTCTTTCTTTCCATTCCTCTCTTTTAGACTGTTCTCTCGTTCAACTGTGAGATATATATATATATATCTATACAATGCTCTTTTCTTCTTTTCTCTCTTTCTTTTTTTTTCTTTTTTATTTACAATTCACCTAGATGTACAAGCTATATTGCCTGAGGCTAGAAAATTGCGATCGCTCGAGCGCAGGTAGTATATGATCCTCGAGATTTGTAAATCGACCCTCGCGTAAATCACCATGAAAAATATCAACATACTCGGTTATTATACATTTATTACGTCGCATTAAAGACAATTTTAACTCTCTTCTTTTTTTTTCCTATTTTTTTTTTTTTTTGTTTTCGTTTCGTTTTGTTTTGTTTTATCAAAGAGGATCCCCAGAAGGGAACGACGCGCAAAAAAATGTATACAAACAATCTTTCTTTGTAAAAATTTCGTTTTGTCGAACGCGGTATATTCGACGAAACAACGATCTCTTAATCGATGAATTATGCATTAAAATCGCGAAATATCGCGCGACTCGGGACAATTACGAGTATATTAGTATTCATGTATATATTAACATGTGTTATACGCGTGCAACTTTTGAACCGTGGAAAGAGATTGGACTATCGAAAAATCTTTCTCCATTATCCAAGTTAATAAATTCTAACCGATGATTCTCAACCGATAAGACGAGACCAACGTTCTTCTCGTTTCTTTCTTCGTAGATATATATATATATATTTTTTTTTGTAACCGACATTCCATTCTCCTTTCTCTTTCCTCCTCTCCTTTCCTCCTCTTCCAAACGACATAGCCTATAATAATAACAACCTAACGGTCGGTCGGTTGAACAACGTATTTCGTAGAAATATCCGTTGTCACGATACAAAGTTGATATATATATATATTTTTATTTTTATTTATTTATTTATTTTTTTTTTTTTACCTTCATCATCGCACGATTCCGCGCGATCGAGTAATAAAATCGTTTTACGACGACGATCGACCAACACGCACTCGACTCGATCCAAAACGTGTATATAAAAATCAGAGGGAACGTGTCTTATTTACAACATTTGCGTGGAACGCAGGCAAGCCTTCCACGCGTAAAAATATGCTTCGCGCGCGAAGCGATTCACACACGATTACACGCAACTGCACACACGTTATATCGCGCAACATCCATACAGAATACGTGGACAAACACGTCGATAAACACACGGGTGTATCGCATCAGTGTTAACCGTTTACAACAACGCAATCGCATTCGCCCAAATTCTATCAAATTCGTAGAAATCGTAACAATTGTATATCATAGAAATCCTAAATCCTTTCGCATCTCTCTCTCTCTCTCTTCGCATCCTACGAATCTACTATCCTCGTCGAAAAGTCGTCGCCCTTCGACCAGGCGAAAAACCGTTTTGAAAAATATCCTCGACCCACCATTTTCGAGAGGACAAAAAAATGGTTTCATTCGCTACTCTAGCTGCTCTCTCTCTCTCTCTCTCTCTATATATATATATATATAGAGAGATTTTGTTTTTGTATAAAAGTCGTCCCGCGCTCGAGCCGATCGCGCCGAGAAAGAACGGGAAAAGTGTAGAGAGATTCGTGTGTGCGCACCGTTTTGTTTTTTTTTTTTTTTTCTTAGGGCATGGGTCTTCTCGAGGCCCATCACCCTAATTTACAAATATTATTATATCATTATTATTAAAATATTCGGTGTAAAAATATGTATGATACAGGCGCCAGGGTACCTAGGCGACTTTGATACCCCGTCTGAGAAACAAAACGAGCCTTTCCTCCCTCTCATCATCGATCCTAAAACTTCCTCGATCCTCCCGCGATCCAAGAAATCGAATCGAATCCACGGAGGTCCCTGCATATCCATCCAAACGTCCATCCTCTTCGTCATCGATGCGAAGCGAAGATTCTCGAGAGAGAGAGAAAAAAAACGTTACTTCTCTCTTCGAATTCAATTCTCTCTCTCTCTCTCTCTCATCCAACCTTGCCACTCGTGGAGTTGGATCGCTCGAAAAAAGCCGTTTTCAACGGTTTTTTATTCGTGATTTTATCCCGAGGCCGCCCGATCGCGGCCTCCTTTCAATCGTTTTAAATCCTGTGATTCGGTGACGACTCGGGGCGTCGTGACGCGCCCGGGTCTCAGGTCACGTCCACCACGAGCCCGTGAACCCAATCGTCGGCTGGCTGCTACGTCAGCAGTTTGAAGAACATCAGGGCTAAGGATATGTTGATGAACAGCACCAGCATCACGAGCTGCTGCCTGAAGAACCAGTCCTGCAAATTTTTCGCTCGAGTTAGAAAACGAAACGAAGCGATTCCAATTTGTCGCTCGTTTTCCCGTCCAAGTTTCAACGGGGGAAAAGAGTCGATCGAGAATTATTTTCGAACGACATGTATAATCCGTTATTCGAGTAACGAGAAAGAAAAAAATCTAATTTGCAAGTTGACGCGGCTGGGAAACTCCACTTTTTTAAAATTTTAATTTTTAATCGTTCGCGAAATATAAATATAAAAACTGAACACTACGTGACTCATCCTGGCTCGACAATTGATCTTTTGAATAAGTAATGTTTCGGCGTAAATGGCGTATATGCAACGTTGCGCAACCTTTTCCCAAACGAAAGTTTCCAAAGAAAATTCACAACAAAATTTACGTCGCACGATAATGTTATTCGAAACGCGAATGATGTAAAGCAATCGAGGATTTACTGCTCGGCTATGCAAATATGTAAGCAATAACAGTTTGATTTCATAACCGGTTAAAATATATTGCAACCGTGTAATGTTTATAATTAACAAACAACCTAATCTGAAAACGATTGGAACCAATGATTTATAGAACCGGAATAATATATATATATAGATATTATTTTACGATCAAAAGTATTGTCATCGCTGCATTTTATCGCTCAACTCGATATCGATCGATTGATTAGCAATAAAAAGAAAATACAGCAAAATATATCTCGTTCAAATATATCTATTTTGAAATCACGCATATATCGAGTATACTTGCCACGAATTGCACGAAAAAAAAAAAAATTTATTCTTATGGTGTTCGTTTTCTGTAAAATTCTGTAAAATTTTTGTGTCATTTTTCCGATTCGTGGCGCGTCATTGTCTCTCGAGAGAATAAAAAAAATCGTTGACGATAACTTTAACCGTGAGACAATTTCAATTGAAAAGATGTCACGGAAGTGGGATACTCGAAACGATTAAACATTCATAATTGCGTATCAATAGCGCGACCTACTCTTGCAATCATCCGATAAGAAGCGTTTTTGCGTCGCTAATTCAAGCACGATGTTGTCTCCCCCACCCCTCCTCCTCTTTTTATTTCTTCCAAGGTTACGTGCACGTTACAATTTATACGCAACTGTCTACGGAAAGTCTACGCGATGCTCCACTTTCGAATCTTCTCCCATTTGCCAAATTTCGAGGGATTCGGATATGGAAAAATTTCGAAAAATCTCGAAGATTAATTTCGATCTGTATAAATTCGAGAAATAATTAAAGTAACGTGTATCGTTTAGATGTTATATGTGTATATAGAATGATAATATTAAATACACGTAATACGATTTAATATTTATACGATGCAATATGTATATCTAAGTGCATTTGCATTCAATAGTAATTTTATGCGTTGCATTAAGAAGAATGGATCGTTTGATTAACCCGTTGATTAACCCTCGAAAAAAGCGACGCAAATAGTCTACACCAGATCATTCATGATTCATAACAATATCGAATGTATATATATATATATACACACACGCACACTCGATTTTTCACTTGCTCACTTACAAAAAAAAAAAAAAGAAATTTATCCGTGTCGAGGACGACATCGAGAAATCGATAAGGAACATGTTGAAAAGTACAGAATTTGCTTTTTCGAAATCGAAAGTTTCATCTGTAAAATTGGATCGTATATTTTTTTTTCATATTTTGAAAAAAGTACTCACTTTAACTTGAGGACTGACCAAGTACAACAGAGGATTGGCCCTGAGTCTTTCGCTCTCGTCGATCTGCCTGCGGATCTCCTCCCTCCTCATGCTGCTCAGGACACTGACTTCCTCCCTGGATAGCGGTGCCGTGGCCGTCAACTGGATAGGTTGAGCCACATCCGGCAGTGATTTCTTTCGTTGAAGGGAAACTGCCGCCGCGGGCATCGCCTGCACGAAGAAAAGAAACGGGGGGAACAAAGAGAGAGAGGTGGCTCTCGAGAGAGTGAATCGATCGTGTCAAGCCTAGTCTTATTCGTATCGTGGTGGGGGAGGGAGAGGCCGATGAAAAGCCCTTTGTGAGAAAAAGAAAAATCTAAGAATAATAATAATAATAATAATTTCGTCAGGAATTCGGCAATCAAAATCTCATTTTCGATTCGGTGATATATGCGAACGATTCGTTTTGATATAGATTCGGTGTATAAAACTAGAGGGAGATGCATGCAACTACAATTCCTCGTTTTAATCTTCTACGTGCATCCTGTACAGAGAGGGTATCGTAAATTTGTTATCCGACACGATCGATCTGAAGTATCGCGCGATCAACGATGCTCGAACGTGTTATCCTATCGTCGAGAGGATGGAAAATTTGTCGCCAAGAGGCTGGACGATTTTATTCGTTTTCGCCGGTAATTGGTTAAGGTTAAGGTTGTGGTCGGTGTGGAAACGATTTCAGAAGGCCGTTTCAGAAAATGGCTGCCCAATTTGTTTGGCGAGAGGGATCTTGGACGTTTACGTGTTCATTAGTTACAACGTTTCGTATAAGCGGAGAAAACGGGATGGCGAAGAGAAGGCAAGGGATCGTTGGACCAGTTCCAAAACGTGGAAACGTTTTGCTCGTAATCGTTGTACGTAATAATGATGCAAAGGCCAGGAATTCTAATCTCCACGGTTCCCAACGCGACCTTCGACACCAATTTTTATCCTGGTCCGACCGATAACAAAGCGAACATTATCGATCCAATTTTTTCTCTCTCTTTCTTTTTATCGATTAATCATAGCAACGTAGTTAATTTCGAAATATTTTTCGATTCCATCCGACGCAACAAATTCTTCTCTCTCGTCTCTTAATTTCAAGTTTTTCACATCGTTCTCTCGTTAAACGTCAAAAATTAAATTTTCCACGAGTTTAAGTAGTAAGATCGATATCCATGGATGCTGTGGCGCTACGATACGATGATGTTCTTCGACACCGTTAATTAATCTCAATCGCAATAATTCGTTCTTCGTTTATCGTATCTTCGGTTACGGTTCATCGAAATTCCCCTCGAACAATACGATACGGTAAAGTGCACCGATAATGTAGCACCAATATCCGAGGAGAAAAGCCCCCCTTTCATTCCCCACCTCATATATACTCTCGCCATTCCCCTTTCCTATCTTTCGCTCGATATCGAGAGCTCGGCTCGTCGTACGATTCGTGGCAATCTTCGTGGATGGTCGTTTTTCTCCCTCTTTTTTTTTTTTTTTTTACGATTCCCTGCTGAATATAATAAGAAAACAATCGACGCGTTTCAAAACGGAATTCAAATTCGGTTCCTTTTTTTCTTCGATCCTCCTCCTCCTCCTCCTCCTCGTTTCCGTGACTTAATTTTGAATTATCGTTAAGCATATTTCTCAAAAGATTACATACAATGTCCAAACCCAATATATATATATATATATATTCGACTCCAAATCTGTCCTTTCCCCGATTTACAAACAGGAAAATAAATAAATCGGGGGAGGGGGGCTGGAGAAACTCGACACGAATTCTGAACAATTGCAGCCGGGAAGGAAGAGGAGCGTTCCACCTCGACGAATTTCAAGGCAGTAGAATTTTTCGATCCATACCTCCGCAGGAGGCGCGACGATCCATGACTCGGAGGCTCTCCTGGCCATGAGAGCCGGGCTGCACAACAGCGCCTCCTCCTCCTCGTCCGTGGTCTCCGACCAGAACATCTTCTCCCCTCCAAACTTCTCCAAAAAGACTTCTCCCCGACGAGGTTCACGGTCGAGGCTTCTCCGATCTTTTATATATACTTTCCAAATACTTCTCGCTTCCTACTTCCGCCTCCTCCTCCTCCTCCTCCTCCTATCTTATACTCCCGGATATTGGCCGACTCGAGGACGAGGCGAGAATGGAAAATTCGAAGACCTCCTGGTGAGGAAGCCAGGCCGTAGACTAAACGGCCCTGGCTCGGCCGACCGAAATAGAGAGACGCCCCACTATTTTCACTTTGAAATAGCATACGAAGCGTCGCGACGCTTCCCGGCGAGCGAATCGGCCAGAACCTTGTCGATCCGCCGCGGCTTGATTTATGACGCCCTGTCGTCGGATCAAGCTCGCTTTAATTTCGGATTTCGATCCTCCGCTCTTTTTCCACCTCCCCCTCTATCGGATCGGTTATCGATCGAGTATTTTTAGAGAGGAGCCAGCCCCTCGGGCCGGATGTTGATCCGACGACGTAGGGAGGCCGCAAACAGCTGTTTGCTTTCGTTTCGCCACCATTGAACTTGGATTCTCGAGGGTCGTTTATTCTTCGACAACGTTTGCTTTCGATTTTTTTTTTTTTTGGTGGATCGAAGAAAGGTGGATCGATCGATCGATCGATTTAGGAATTATTTTGCAATTTGACGAAACAAGTGAAGGAGCACGTCTTTCGCGAAGAAGAGCGGAAATATGGTTACGCAAATAAAATGGAGCTGAACGCGTATCTCTGATTCACGTAGCTGGCATCCGAATAAATTTCGTCGAGGCTTTCGTGAATCCTGCGCTTCTTTCCACGCCAAAATGGGCCTCGGCCCATTTTATTCCCTTGAAAATCTTGAAAACGAGCGCGCATCCAAATTGTGTTCTTTCTAATCTCCTTCCATCGTTTTATATTAATCGATGGCCTTCGATTTATCGAAATAATTCGAATCGTTGCTTGTTTTCTTCGATAAAATCGTCGATTCTTGCTCTATCTTTGCTTCGTCCACTACGTTGTGAAGCTTTTGTACGAAAATCCATCCATGATTGGCAAGTTTGCGTTGCAAGTTTCTCGTCGCGTGACATTTATAAATATTTGACGGGGCTCGTTTCGCTCAGATAGAGTTATTTCGCTATTCGGCTCGATCAAGCGGGCGTCGATAATTAAGAAATCATCCCCATTCTCTCTCAATCCATCCTCCATTTATTAAATGAAACGAGAGTCCCCCCTCCCTGATTTCTATAATAACCATCGAAAATCCGATCTACGAAAATATCGCCTGTTGTTTTCACGCCAATCCACGCGAATTGTCAAGCATCGTATATATTCGACGTATGCGTTTCTTGGCACGAGGCTGAACCCCAATTAAACGAGGATATTTCGTTGTGCAAAGTTTCATCGCAATGAAAATTCTTTAACTCTGCCGAATTCCTGAACGAGATTCCGCCCTCCCCTTCCTATTAGTCAACATGTGCGTCGTGAAACAGCTTTTGCAATCCCATTTTTTTGAAAATGAATTGGATCTGGACAAAACTTGGAAACTCTCTCGAAAATATAAAAGCAACATAACGCAAGATAAGCAAGTTTAACGAAGAGTAAATAAATAAACGAATAAAAAGTAATAATAATCGTAATTTTGTTCGAGTAGCGGGGGGGGGGGAGGGTTAAAAAGTTTCAGACAACCGAATAAACGTTCTCTCTCCTAATAATCGACATGCTTTTTTAATCTGTCGGCCAATAACAGCTTTTACATCGTGTTACATAAATACATTCAATACATCGAACCAACCATTTGTAATATCGTTGTGTTGATTAACAAGGTTTCTCCCTCGGTATGCTCATGCTCGGGCTATAAACCGGCTAAATTTCCTCGAAATGCAACCTGGAAGTACATCGTTGTGTGCATCGGCTATTCTCGCTTATCGATCTGTTTTTCCTCTAAGGAACTCGACTACTACGTTGCCTCTTTTCCCTAATACAACACTACGAATCGTCTTTATATTAAAATACTCGTCAATTCTCTCGCTGCGCGCGTCAATAGAAGAAATCCTTTCTCTCTACCGTGAGCATAAACAAAATTCGAGCACGTCCCTTTAAAATATACCTCGTCTTTCTCCTTCTTTTCTTTTCACACGCTTTGAAATTTTAAACAAATTCGATATAATAATAATCGATATAAAAGGAAGAGAATAATAATTTTCAATTCTCCGAATAATTTCTTCGATTTCTTTTCCTGCTAACTTTGTCAACGTTTCCGCATCGCGTCTATTCAAGATTCTCTCGCGAGAAGACACGTTTCGGAAAGCTTGGCACTTGAACAAACCCGAGGTTAATTGTGTAGTCGACATTTCGCATATGAAAAATAAGCGTTTGCTTGAAAATCCAAGAGGAACTCGGAGAGATTCGATTCCATCACTGAGAGCCTCGTCTAAATTTCTACCTCCGTATCTAAGGATTCCAGGTTTCATTCGATCGATATCATCCTTTCCTTTCTTTCTTCCTTCTTCCGTCCATCCTCGTTTCGTTCGTTCTTTAGGCACGACCATTGTTGAGGTACAATTGCAACCACGTTGAATCGAAAAATTCCTCCATACTTCTCCGAGGAGAAGTACCTTTCCAAATAATTCTTGACTCGAGATAGATTTCTTTTCCAAGCCTCCAAGTGTAAAAAAAGCTTCTCTCTGATCGTAGAAAGAGTTAAAAATTTTTTTTTCGTAAAAATTCTTAATTACCACGAGCGTGTGTGTATGCAAGTACAGTATCTTTGAGCAACGTGTTTTTCAAGTTCAACGATTAGGCGCTATTGTGTATGTATATATATATATATGTCTCGTCGAGATGATCGAAAAATTGGTATACTTTGTTCCTTCGTGTCGATTCGAATAAATTCAACGTGGCCGCACCAAAAGCGTTCGTAATTGTATTGTGTAAAACCAGTGATCAAAATATATATATATATATATTTATATAAATATATAAATATATATATATTTATACCACGTAACGTTCGTTAAACGTTCAGTGTGTGTTTAGGGGTCGTACCTAACGCACGAAATTAATAATAATAATCTCCTTGTTCCAACTCGACGAGAGGGAATTAACAACGTTTCAAAGGTACGTCGAGAATATTAGATTCGTAATGGTAATTCATAATGCACGTTTGGTAACCGACATTTGTGCTTTTTCCTTCACCAAGATCAACCCCTTCGAGATGTGTGTGGACAAATAAAAGAAAAAAGGCAGGAGGGGAGGGGGAACAAATCTCTTTGAAGGAAAATCTATAAAAAATCTTCCGTTTCGTTTCACGGGAAGGATTAAAGGATAATTGATAAAATATTTCTTCTCTGCGTTTCGTTGCAGCTTGCAAATCTCTCGAAAGGGTTGTCGTGTTTTGGTTCGTGTATATATTATCGTCACGATTATATAATTAAATATTAATCACCTTACGCCTACGTAATTTTCTTCGTATACTTATATCTACGAATTTTATATATACATATATATATATACATATATTCTATCTTAACTGGTACAATATATATATGTATATATCATAAATTTTAGAGAGAGTGACGCTACGTCATAGAGAAGCATGCGTTAGAAAAATAATGTATCTGAATCAAAAAATAGGAGAAAACAAGCGGCGTGGAGGTGGAGGGTAAAGAAGATTTTTCTATGTATATATATATATGTGTGTGTGTGTATGTGTGTGTTTGTGTGTATATATATATAAAGTCACGAAATAAACGAGTGGGTGAAGGGGGGTAGGCATTCGAGATACGGCACAATTAACAAGGAATATGAGAGAACGTATTAATCTCGTGATGATATTACAGGGTATTCGTTGTTGCTGTTAAGACAAAGGAGAGAGAGAGAGAAAGAGAGAGAGAGAGAGAGGAAGAAGTAGGTTACGAAGCTT